TCATAGGAATGCAAAATGGAGCAGCTGCTTTGAATTACAGTTTGACAGTTCCTAAAATATGTAAACATACAGTTATCATATGACCCAGCAATTTCATTCCTAGGTTTATACTCAAGATAACTGAGAACATATGTCCACTCAAAACTTTGTACATAAATGTTAAATGCAGCTTTACATATCATAGCATAAAAAATTGGAAAGAACCCAAATGCCAATTAAATGATGGATGGATGGATAAACAAAAAAGTGATATATACATATAATAGAATATTATTCAGCAATAAAAGGAATAAGGTACTGAAGCATGCTATAACATGGATGAATCTTGAAACTATTATACTAAATGGTTAAAACCAGACATCCATAGTCACTTATTGTATGATTCCATTTATATTAAATGTTCAGAATTGGCAAATCCATAGAGACAGAAAGTAGATTAGCAGTTGCTAGGAGCTGGGTTTTGAGGGGAATTTGGGAATGACAGCAAATGGATATTAGGTTTCTTTTTTAGGGTGATCAAAATGTTCTGAAATTACATAGTGGTGATGGTTGCACAATTTTGTGAAAAACACTTTAAAAAGGTGAATTGTATGCATGGTATGTGAATTATATCTTAATTTTTAGAAGCAGGCAATCACCAACAAAAAAACAAAGCAAAACAAAAAAGACAAAACGGAACTATGATCTATGTACCTCTCTGGATTCAGTTTATTCATAATAATGTCACCTTCCACAGTAATACAAAAGTTATTTGCCTAAGCATAGTTCATATTTGGCTATATATTCTTTTTCTGGGTTTTTACTTTCAAATGCCAACTTTACCAGTTCTAGTTTGGCCAACCATCCCAATTTTCCCAGGACTAAGGAATGTTTCCAGGACCTGGGACTTTCAGGACTACAACATAGAAAGCTCCAGGAAAACTGAGACAAGCTCGTCTCAAATCTATCTGCCCATCTCCTAGCGCTACTTATTCCCACGAACATCCATGACTGACACTGATGAGTAGACAAGAGTTTCTCAGACTTTTAAAAATTCATGATCACTTTGAAAAACACAAAACCCCATAATATTCTGTCAAATTTCAAAATACAGTATTAAAAGTAAAAACATGTGTTGTGTATTTTCTCCAAATTTGACAAGTATCCTATTCTTCAGATTCTCATACAGCACTTCCTGGCTCCTTTCTCTCTCTCTCTCACACACCATGCCCACACTCACCCCCCCAACACACACACACACANCACACACACACACACACACACACACACACACACACACACACATAAACTCCCAATTACCCACACAACCACACACACACACTCATAGGCTCCAGCAATGAGTACATGCTTTAAATTATGCCAGCATAACCTGATATTTCTGGGCCTCAGAGAAACTGTTCTCTTTTTCTGGAATTCTGTATACCAAATTTGCCAACCTCCTGAACTAGTCATCCTTCAAATTTCATATTAACTATTGCAGGCTCCGTAAATCTTTCCCTGACCATACCAACACCAAACAGAATAAATCATTTTCTCTTTTTTAACATACTTTCAGTGTTGCACTTATCACATAGTATAATTTATTGGATTATGTAACTGCAGCACCCAACTTGAGAGGGAACTATTAAGACAGGAATTCTATCTTATTTATCTATGCATCTTATTCCTGGGAAATAGCATGCATACAACTCAATTCGTTGAACTCCACTAATACATTTGATATATTTATTACTTTGATTAAGTGATGACAACTTATATAGCATGCTTAAAATATGACTGAGTGACAGTTTTAATAATAACTGACAAATAATCTTTGGATGGTTTATATACACAGTTATAAAAAATACAAATTACATTGACATGTGTATCCATCAATCTAGACTTGCAAAAAAAAATGTACCAAGTAACACAAGCACAGCCACCTTACTTCCTGTTTTTCTACTTACCACTCTATACCTCTTTGCATACTCAGTCAAGTGTTTTGAAAAAGGCATGTGCTACCACCGTCTCCTTTTCCAGACTTCTCAGCTCCCCCTTACACCTATAGAAATAGAGTATTTCCACCCACTTATATATTAAATCTGCTATGACAAATGCCACCATCTATATGACCAAACCCAAAGGACGTTTTTAGTCTCTGAAGTTATTTATTAATTTTCTGCTGCATTTGATATTCTTGGGCATTCCCTTTCGGCCCTCTATTACCTTGGCTTCTGGCCCTCCCACTTCTTTAACCACTATTTCTCAGTTGAGTTGAGGGATCCTCTTCCTTTACCCATTTCTTAAACATTGGTTTTACCTAGGACTCTCTCTGGTATATCTTTTGTCTAACTATATACCCTTTGGTGATGTCATCTACTTTCCCAGTTAACTGAGTGCTTCAGGTTCACATACCCAGGTTGGACCTTGGATAACACACAGGTACCATGAAATCATCCTATCAAAATCTGAATTCCTCACTGCCCACCTCAACCGAGGCCTGGTTTGATTCTTTAGTTTCACTTCTCACCCAAACCATTGATATGAAAATCCCCCAAACTCTTTCCTTACAAACCATATTCAACTGACACTCAAGCACTGTGTATTTGACATCTTACTCAACTCTTGAAATGTTTCCTTACCACATCCTCTGTTACTCTTATAGATCAAGATTTTATCATCTTTCTCTTGACTATTACAATAGCCTATTAATTGATTTGCTTGTCTCTAGTTTTGCTCATATCACATTGATAGTCCATTTTTTCCACTTCTGCCAAAGTAATACATATTTTATATATACACACATATACACCTATAATGAAAATCTGACTAACCCACTCTCCTAATTAAAACCCATTCTCACAACCATACAAGTCAATGTAGTGTTTATTGAATTTATTTTTCACCCAGTTATCATATACAGAAATCTAAATTCATCCTACAATACTAATCCAGATGCATTCATATATTTTCTTTTTAGTCTATTCAAAATTAAAAAGAAACAAAAAAACTAGCCTCAATTGATTTTCAGATCCACTAATAGGTTATGACTTGCAAATTTAGAAACACTGACCTACATACTAGAGCCCCTCTTTAATCACCCCCTACCACCAATTTATTGCTGCCTCTTCTTATCAACCTAGAAAGGCACTATGTGGCTATAAAGAGCTCAATTGATGCACATCACTTTCTAGGGAGAATCAGTAGAAATAAAGAATTACATGCAAATTTTAAATTCTTCAAGTCCCCTCAAGTCCACTAGTTAGTTAGAAAAGTATAGAGCGAGCAGAGGGATTGTCAGAAAGGAGAATTAAAAGGACTAGTGTACTCTAGGCCACTATACTCAGAGGGGCCACCAGGAAAGTTCCACTAGGTACAAGGTAAGCTACAACAGATTCCCACAGCTTTAAGTCTATGGAAAATAAAAATAAAATAAGACAAGAAAATTGATCTAAAGTCTTGTTGGAAGGATGACAATTGCTGCTTCAGATCCAAAAATTCCAACTTAAATAGTTTTTAGAATGAGTGGGACCAGTTCAAATGGAATCTCAATATGTGGCACATGGCATATTTTAAAATAAAAACGAATTCCTCAAAGAATTTTCCCAGAAATTGCTTGAATCCTAATATAACTAAAAAGTTTTCCAATACCTAGAACATTAGAAAGTGAGGATCATAAGTTTTCTATGAATTATCAAAAAAAGTTCCATCATTAGAAAAATGGCTTTACAGTAAGAACATTTACAGAAATAAATATGGCAACATCATTAAGAATACTTTCAGCTGTGTACTTTTTTTCAATGTAATTATAAATCATTTTTACTATGGTTAAATAAAAAATTATTTTTATTCCTTGAAAAGTACTGATTAAATGTAGAATGATATTCAATGATATTCGAGTATACTTATTGAGATAAAATCTATAACCCATCTTTTGAGCTACTTGAAATTTGTTTATCAAAATGTTATATCTTAAAACATAGTTTTAAATTATTTGTGACTATATGTGATACACAAAATATGAGCATTTAAATGTTTTATTTAATTTCAGTCTTTGCCAATGCTAATAAAAACTTGTCCCAGCAAAAGTACTACAAAAATTTGCTTTTCTTCTTATAGCTTTTTTACAATTATATCACTTTATTTTGGTTTTGCTTCAAAGAATTCTCAGATAGCTAAAGAAATCTATTAAAAAATTGCACATTTCTTAGGACACATTTCTTCAAAGATTTTGCTGAAAACCTTAGCAGGAGGCATTTCCCCAGTAGTAACTACTTGACCTACAACGGTTATGCTAAGAGTGTTGTCGCTGCTGAGCATGTTTAATTTTTAAAGGAACGTTTAATTTTTGTTACCAAGACCATAACTCTTCTCAGAAGATTGACTATATCCTGCTACTCTTCGGAACTGTAAAGCTGTCTACATTTTATCTCATCAAAAATCCACATTCGCACCTCAGAGGTTACTTATTTGGGTTCTTCTCTACCTCCTGCTATCCTCTGAGGTTGGCCATTGAACTCTTCCCTAGCATCTACACTTGAGGTTGCAATAAAAACCAACTAGGTGGGCAATCTGCTCTTTCAGGTTGCCCATTACCTTTAAATAAATAGTGCGAAGGTGGGGTAATGTACTACCTATGCATTTCCCCTACTTTTACTCTCCTCCCCTCTCTGTACCTTGCCTCCCTACTTGCCTAAATTCTTGATCTCCAACATACACATACATTCCAAATGCAAAGTATAAATTTTCTGCCACCCTAGAGCTCCCTCAAAACATGTCCCTTTCCTTTAATTAGTTTTATGCTTCCAATATGGCATTAGAAACACCACTTAACTAAGACACATAATACAGAGCTCGTGTTTACAGATAATTTTATCCAATTCAATAGTAGCCTTTTTATTACACATACACCAGAGTAGCTAGAGTATCTACTCCCACATGCAATGTGAATTAATCAATCTGTAACCAGTGATCTGTGTAAGAGACGACATTTCAGTCAATAAAACCAATGCCATACTCACGGTGAAGGTTGATGGGGCTGGTTTTCAGCATTTCTTGGTGTTTTGCAGGCAGCAGGCTTCGCCATGTCCCTGACAACACACCTGGGGCGCATGATAGACAGCACAACGCACTATTAATTATAACAAGGGTAGAACAAATCTGGAAATTAAACACGGCACTGAAAACACAGTCTAAGGAAAAACCTTTGCAAGCCCCCTCAATATTTATCTGGAGGCCCTGGAAAAGCCCTCAGAGCTGGAAATCCTTGACTCGGGCTTCTGAGAACTCAGTTACACTCAAACAAAAATCTGTGCTAGCTTCTGTATTTGATTTTCCTTTTTAGCACCAATAAAATGATAGTCAGCAGCTCTCCCCATGGAAGAAATGCTACTGAAAACTTTGGCCTTACCATCTGAAGACATCTAAAAGCTTTAAAAATAGGAACAGCTGTGTTGATATGCTGAAAGATGAGCAGGATTTTCTGTGGCATTGGCTATTTTACCAAAAGGTATGGACTCCTGTTTCATGCCAGTCATCACAACATAGGTCTTTCTTTTTATGCAAAAGGAGATCAGAGGGGTTTCAAGGGAGCCTCACATTCAAAATCCCCTTCGAGCTAAGAAAAGGGGAAAAGTTAGAAGAAAATGTTTGTATGTAAAGTATGTGTGTGTGCATGTGTGTGTGCATGTGTGCGTGCATGGGTGTATGTGTGTAAAATAGAGAAGATACCTCCACATTGTGAAAAAAAATAGCGCCTTAAGTCCTCCATCACAGAATGAATAAATACAGAGGGTGGATGATATAACAGAACTCCAAAGGGCAGGAGGAGGACACACTCTCACCCTCATGTCATGGGGACTTAAGAGCATCGGAGAGATTCATTGGCAGAAATCAGAAAACACTCCCACGTGAGGCTGTACTTGAATGGCTCAAATATTCCTTCACTACAAAAGCTTCAAAACAAATATTTATTTAAATAGGGATGCCATGGTTATAAAGCTGAGACCCCCACATCTTAGACTTTGGCAAAATGAAACACCCCATAGGATCCAGGATTCTCAAACATGAATCTGATTCTTAACTTTTATGGAGGCTCATTGGAGGTTTGACTACACTGCTTATAGTTAAGGCCAGTCATGTTATTCCAGAAGTGGATTACTGGTGAGGTAGTGGCAGGTAAACTTTTCCCAGAGCTAAATGCTGCATGGCAAAATTCTCCACTTCTGAAAGAAATGATACAGGGAAACATGGACACAAAGCACAGAAACGTGCGCACACACACACACACACACTGCTCATTCCAAACAAGGTCAAGTAAGACTTAGGAATCAAATGTAACGTGACAAGAAAAGAAAATGGTGCCATTTCAAAGCCTCCCTCCTGGGGTAAGTTAAGAAATTAAAAAATGCTAAACTCTGAATGGCTTAGTCAAGAGATGTAAGTCAAAAACATGTACAAGAGCCACAAGGCCCTCTGATTTGTTCCAGTTTTATGGGAGGAGAGGGCCACTCAGGCATCAGGATTAAGAAAACGTTTAAGAAGGCAGTTGTTAGGGAGAAGGAATATCCTAGGATTTCTGAACACTGAAATTTGAATCTAACTTACACTGAGTACAATGCCCAGGAAGTTAAATTTCATAGCACTGGAAAAATCTTTTGCAATTTTCATTCAACTAAAAATAGCACATACAGCATATTTAATCTACATGTACTGGTTTGTGAAAATATAGGAAATATCACCAACTTTGGAAAAAATTTTGAAGAATTATATCTGTGAGAAACCATATGCAACCTTCTATCTTAGTTCATTTCTTTTTTCCCCTAAAGTTTCAGGTATTTATACAAAGCTTCGAAATAAAAACTATGTGCCACTTAATTCCAGTTTTCCTTAAATAGGCTTTTAAGTGACTCTTTTCTAATAAATGTGGAATATCAGCCAGCACTCAGGTAGGTTTATAAAAACCACATTTATTATTTTTTTTTCTGAGTGAAAGAGCATGTCTGTGTAGGAAAACTCCCGTCTTATCTAAAGTACCCAGTGGTTTTGGTTTAAAATTACAAAACTGACACCTGCTTCTCCCTGCACATATTACAGAATCTTCCAAACGAAAACTTTATTTAAACTTCTGAACTTTAAAGTTCTATCATATAATGAAAATAAACACAGCAATACTCTAAAACAATATATTTAGAATTAATTTGAATATACTGAATTTAAATATATTTATTTAAATGAATTAATATGGTTTAATTTTTTAAAAACAACATATTTTTTCATACTAACATATATCCTGACCATGACCAAAGTGATATAACTAGCTGCTGAATCTTAGTTTTTGGGGAGAACACTTTTTTTTCAAGTTGCTAATTATTCACCCAATTTGAAGGGGCTCTAAACAATGGTAATATATGTGCCTACATTTTCTAATTTGACTTCTTTTCAGCTGAAATATCTTCTTGATATAAGAAAGAAAAGGTAAAGTAAAACAGCCTACATTCAGCTAGATACACAAAAAAACATAATATACTCATTTTTGTTAGCCTGCATGGATTAACATAATCTCTAAAATTATAATTGAATTGTTATGTCTGGCATAGCACAATTTGGAGGGATAAACTGTAATAGTTTTGACAGTTCTAATGCATAAAAATTGTTTAGGCCCAGCACTTTCCATTATCTCCCATGCATTAAAGTTATTATAACAAGATAGACCCTTCATACTCTAAGAAACACAACAATGATGTTTAGCATCTTGCCGCTATTAAGGGTCTTCCTCTACATATTATTTATTCCTTCAGCCAGACATCAGGAGGCTGGAAATGATGCCACAATGCCGACTTCCTAGACTTAAAATGGATTGAGAGATTAGGAGTTCAAGGGGTGTAACCTCTTATTCTTTTCAAAGTCTTTAATTACTCAGAGATTTATCAGACATGGACTCTTAACAGTCTTCAAACTGCTTGTGAGCAGTCCCTCATCACTCAAGCATCACTGAAGATTTATGCAAATGAGACATTCCACTACCACCTCAGGGGAATGCTGCTGTCTCCACCCTGAGTGCGGCTGAGTTTTATGAATGAATGTAATCAATGCGATGAATGGCTGCCAACTGCCCACTCAACCACTTCTACTCTTCCTGCACTTACAGGAGAAACTAACATTGCCACAAGCCTGCCAATGAGGCTATGGTAAGGCTTCCATCTCACCAAACAGGAACTAAGTATACATCCAGATAACTTACAGTATGTAAATTAAAAATCATAATTGGCTCCAAAAAAAATTTACATAATTACTTTCTCTCTTTGAGTTTCCATTTTGGTGCCTGCAATCACTAGCAGCAACCACCACTCCTCAGGCCCCACAGAAAAAGAAGAGAAAAAAAACACTATTTTATGAAACTTTATCTCAATTTGAACTTAAAATCATTTTATTTTTTGTGACTAATATCAGGAAACTAGTTACTGTGCACTAAGCTGACAAATAGATTATGACATGTTTACATTTTTGTTCTCAATCTTTTGGTTTCTGAGTTTTACTGAAGCTTCTCCTATCATCTATGGAGACAGCAATTACGTCCAAACCGTACTAGGGGAAAAAAGTGTATTTGTGCTTACTCCTCAAATGTTATTGTACTATTCTACATTAGTCACAAGAGACCCTTAGGGACAGTTAAAATAACATAAGGTTAAGAGACTTAAACATTTTTCAAATATACAATTCTCTGATTTGCTGACCACTGATATAAAATACATAGACACAAGAAAAAACAGACATGAAGAAACCTCAAGAGTTCTGTAGCCAGCTCTTCTCTTCTAAACCTCAGATTCAGGACGTCAAGCTACTCTTCCACATGTCATTCACCAAAAGTACCTAAAATTGATGCAAAATTCCTGTCCCCAGCTCAGTCAATCCTCTTAACTCCCAACATCCAACTGCCTCATCAACATTTTCACTTGGATTTCTTCTAACAGACCTCTCAAAATCAACATTTCCAAAATGGAATTCTTAATCCCACCCCCTCAAACCTGATCTTCCAGCAGCCATCTCCATCTAGGCTGAATTGCAAATAAATTTCGCTAGCTGTTCAGCTACAAACTTTAGACTTGACTCCTCTTTTCTCTCACACTGGCATCCAATCCACCAGTTTGGTTCTGCTATCCAATTATGTGCCCTATCTGTCCATGTCTCACCTCCTGCACTACTGCCATGCTGTCCTGAGCCAGCATCACCTGATACTTGGATTCCCATGGACTTTTAACCTCTTGCCACACATTTATGTTTATCATCTTCCTGGAGCTTATTCACAAAACAACAGCCAGAGTGACTCTTTTGAAAGACAAATCCGACCATGATTCCTTGGCTCAAAATCTTGCAATGGCTCCCTCCCCAGTTTACCCGCCTACAATGCCAGAGTCCTCAGACTATAATCTGGTCTCCCATAATGCTCAGAGTTCATCACCTATGGCTGCCTCCCTCTCCCCTTGCTCGCTCTGCTCCAGACACACTGGCCTCCTCTCTGGTCTTCCTCAGTCACACCAAGCATGATCTTGCACCAACCCGTCCTTGTGTCTGGAATGTTCTTCCCTGATACTGGTATAACTAACCCCCTTACCTCTTTCAAGTGTTTGCTCAAAGGTCAGTTTTTGATGGTTCCTACTCTGATTATCCTACTTACTAACGTACTCTGCTCCCTCTCCCTCAATCACAGCTATATACTTCCCATATCCTTTGCCTTGCTCTACTACTTCCTAAAATGTATTGCCTCCTATTGTTGAAATACGAGCTGCTCAAGAAGGGAGATCTCTGGTTCACTGATATATTGCAAGAGCTTAGAACAGTGCCTAACATACTAGTCACTCACTAAATATTTGTTAAAGGAATGAATAATATAAAAACGACAAAAAGCTGTAGAGTTCAAGCTTGAGTAACTAATTGCACATGCTAAAATTGAGTGATTTAGAATAGACTGTAGGTAACACCTTTGTGTAAGATTACAGCATATTTTTATAACATATTTACAAACTATAATTCATGGCCAACAAGTCTTATGATTTGAATAACTCTACTAAATTTGTTTTTATGTGGTTTGACTAAGACTCAT